GGCACAAAGAATAAAGCTTTCAAAAGAATTATCAAAACGCTCCACTGGAAAAACATTATACATTTTAGATGAACCTACAACTGGACTGCATTTTGAAGATATAAATAACTTACTGACAATACTGCACAAGTTGGTTGATATGGGAAATACGGTGATAGTTATTGAACATAATTTACACGTTATAAAGACAGCAGATTACATAATAGATATCGGACCAGAGGGAGGAGCAAAAGGTGGCAGAGTGGTAGCTAGAGGAATACCAGAAGAGGTAGCTAGTATGCCAGAAAGTGTTACTGGTAAATATCTTAAACAACACCTGCCAAAATTAGTGCAAGCATAAATAGTTACAGTTGTTTTTGATCCAGTTATGGCATGGCTTTTTAGGGTTAAAACATCAAATGTGAGAGGGTAGGAAAAAGTTTAAAATAAAAAACAAACTATAGAATTCCTTAAGTCATATCTGTATGTTGCTGGCACTTTTACCTCCTTCCCATCCTAAATCTTTACCTTATTTTTACTATCAATGGAAATAATGTTCATTATTTTTTAAGATAAAACATTTAAAATATCAGACATATTATTCAAATGGCTTTATTGTGGTGGTACATTCTTTAATTACAGTGAATATTTCTATCTTTTTTCCTACATCTTAACTGCGTATAAAGCTATTTTAAGTGTTAAATTCAATTTTTAATTGTTTTATTTTCAATTTTAAGTTGAAATATATTGACATACACACTTGTAAATATATATAAATAATTAGTTTTTAATATTGAGGTTTTAAATATGTTCACCAGAAACAAAATAAGAGGTGGTCGTGGCACTGACACAACACCGCTAATAAATGATTTGCCAGAAGTAGAAAAAAAAAGAGACTTAATCAGAAAGTGCCTAGAAAGAGCTATTGATATTACGACTAAAGATGAAGAAAGCAATAATGTTCTACATATTATTGCTTCAATGCCTAAAAAAGAGAAAATTATATGGTTGGCTAAGATCCCTAAAAATCAACTCGCAAAAGCAATAAATGCTGAGAACAAGAATGGACAAACTCCTATGCAAATAGCATTTCATGCTAAAATAAACAAGAAAAGTCATTATCACCGTACAATCTCCACTAACGATAGCACACTTAAATTTATTGTAGCGTTGTTAAACAATGGAGCTAAAGTTGATCAGCTGCAATTATCTGAAGAATACTTAGCAGCACTGTCTAACTCTCAAAAAAACTATCATATTAATTTTTTAAAAAAACTAGCTAGCAAATATAAGATTACACAAGTGAATACTAATATAACAAAATGTGATAGTGGCTTTGAAAGTGGTCCTGATGACACTGACTCAATGCCGTCAACACATGAAATAAAGACAACAGAACCTATATTGACAGAAAATAAAAGTAAAAATCCATATGCAACAATACAGGAAACAAAAGAAGGCTTTGACAGTTCATTAAAAACAATCAAAGGAAAAAACTTAGCAAATTTCAAAAAATACTTGGAAAAAATTAGTGTGACCACTACAGATACAGAAGGCAATAACATTTTACATCTCATTGCTTCAATGCTTCGCAAAAAGAAAATTACACGGTTGAATCTTATACTTAAAAGTGAGATATCCAAGGATCAACTCGAAAAAGCAATAAATGCTGAGAACAAGAATGGGCTAACTCCTATGCAAGTAGCAATAAATGCTGAGAACAAGAATGGGTTAACTCCTATGCAAGTAGCATTAAGTGCTAAAATAAACAAGGAAAGTCACCATCATAATACAATCCCCGATAGTGATAATACACTTGAATTTATTATAAAGTTATTAAAAAATGGAGCTGATCCTAGTCAGTTGCAATTGTCTGAAGCACTGTCTCAATCTACACGAAACTATTATTATGATTTTTTAAAAAAACTAGCTCAATCTAGCAAAGATAAGGCTATACCTAGCAAAGATAAGATTATACACACTATTGATCATATTATTTATGGTCGGTATCCATTACACCTAGCAGTTCTTAGGCAAGATCAAAATATGTTTAGTGCTCTCCTCTTAAAAAATTATTCTATTACTAAAATGGACGCAGAAGGCAATAACATTTTACATCTCATTGCTTCAATGCCTAATAAAACGAAAATTACATGGTTGAACCTTATACCTAAAAATGGAACATTTAATGATCAACTCACAGAAGCAATAAATGCTACAAACAAGAATGGGCGCACTCCTATACAAGCAGCAATAGTGAACAAAATAACTAAAGATACTCACAGAACATTTACAATATCTGACAACACTGTAAATTTTTGTATAAAACTATTAAACCACCCTGTGTTAAACAATGAAGCTAAATCCGAGGATTGTCGTCGTCATTTTGTATTACCTGGAAAATATAGTAGTGATAGATATATTAAATTTTTACAAAAATTGATCAAAGATGAAAGAATAAATGCAGATCACACAAAAGATATTTTAGGTGATATTCTAAAAGAACAAATAGCTCAACATCAAGAAAATAAAAAATTAAACAAGGGTATTAAAAATACTAGGAATAATTGCTGGACTAAAACAAAAAAGTGCGGCAAAGTTATACTGGATTTTATTAATCCAAACAAAACAGTTGATAGAATGACTAAATTAGCAATAGCTGCCCTCACTGTTGTTGCTGCTTTTTTTACATTTGTAATAATAGCATTTGCTGCAATTAATGGTCAGCTTCCTATAGCAGCAGCAGTACCTATAATGTTAGCATTTGTGGTTACTCCTATAGTCATAAAATATTTCCAAAGCAATAATGAATTAGAAAAAACTGATAACTCTGCTAAAAATGAAAAGCCTAATAGTAGGATGACTGATATACTCACTGGCACTTTCAAGAATGGTGTTAGAGTTCTCAATTAATTAG